TGTGTATTCTTGCCACCTCTTCTTGATGTCTTCTGCTTCTGTGAGATCCCTACTATTTTTGTCCTTTATCATGTTCATCTTTGCACAAAAGGTTCCTTGAATATCTCCAATTTTCTTGAACAGATCTCTGGTTTTTCCCTTTCTATTATTTTCCTCTACAGTGGACCCTCTACTTACGGAATTAATCCGTATTGGAATGGTGTCTGCAAGTCGAAAAGTCTGTAGGTCGAATCTCCATTGACCTACAATGCATTGAAAACCAATTAATCCCATAACCGGCAGTTTTTATTCTATTTTTGTTCCACTTTGTGTTTTCTCTGGTCTGTAAGTTGATTCTCCGGCTGCAAGTCGAATCTAAATTTTGCAGCCAGAGAAGTCTGTAACTCGAAAAGTCTGTAAGTCGAGGGTCCACTGTACATCTTTGCACTGTTCATTTATGAAGACCCTCTTGTTTCTCCTTGCTATTCCTTGGAAGTCTGCATTCAATTTTCTGTAATTTTCCCTATCTCCCTTGCATTTTGTTTCCCTTCTCTTCTCTGCTATTTGTAAGGCCTTGTTGGACAGCCACTTTGCTTTCTTGCATTTCCTTTTCTTTGGGATGGTTTTTGTTGCTGCCTCCTGTACAATGTTACGAGCCTCCATCCGTCGTTCTTCAGGCACTTTGTCCACCAAATCTAGTTCCTTAAACTAGATAGTTCTGTCTATCATGGTGTTACTATCTTTGGCAACTGTAATAAACCAGATTGAGTCTTTTTAGATTATAGGTATTCTACCTTTTGTGCAAGAAAATCAAAGGAGCACAACCATCGTGCAAAGAAGGTTAGGCCATGGGTAGATAGTGAATCTGCCCATGGCCACCCAACAGCCTTCACCATCTCTCAACTGACATACACTTTTCCCAAAGACACACAAAGAGATTCCTATATCTAAAGACTAACAAGAGAAGAACAATGGAGATCCTAATCTCCCTCAACTACTGATACCAGATATCAGTGAAAATCGGATACCCAGGTTACAGAACACACCTCTCATGAGCCTAAGGCAATCAATAACTGTGAGCTTATACTTTCTGCCACTACTTCCAGAAGCCCTGATAAATGACAGCCACTGCTGGCTCATAAGCATGATTTTGCCAGTACACAGCAAGACATGACAACTCCACCCTTTGTTACTAATGCAAAGAATGCTAATGGCACACCCCAGGTTGAAAAAGTAGCTAAACAGAACCTCCAATCAAAGAAAGAGTGCTTGTGACTAGTCAGGGGTGATGGTGGGTGGTCAAGGAAAACCAACATTTTTTAATCAACAGCCAAATCAAAATAGTCTAACCACCATTCCATCCACCCACTCTACACATGCTACCAATTTCACCAAGGAGCAAACAATCCCATACCACCCAATATCCTTTCTAGTCTCACTTACAAAAGCCTTGAAAACAATCACCACGATGTTGCCTCTTCCTTCTTCTCCAGCCCCACCACCCTGTGCCCAACTCTTGACACCACACTCTTCATTTCAGAAGAGGGTCCTTCTAATGAACATATGGCGAAATAAAAACAAGATAGGAATCGCTTCCTCTAATTGGGGAAGGTACCAGAAAAACACAAGGCACAGAAACAAAAGGCATAAGAAGAACCACACAGTGTTTCTGTACCAAATGGAGGGAATGGCATTCCTGGGAAAGCTAGACTGTCTCCCTAGTGAAGATTTCCTCACTCTTGGGTGGCTGGGGAACATCATTCTTTTTTGAATTGGGGGGGAGGCAAAAATGGTACTTCATGGCCTGAGTGACCACACTAGTGCCAAGGTGATCAAGGGAGAGGTCAAAGAAAGGCAAGGGGAAAAGCATTCCCCCAAGGAATCGCTGGATCTAGTTGATCGCAGAGGCAGAAAAATAATAATAATCCTCTCCTCTTAATTTGCAAAGGCGGCCAGAGGAGTGAGTGGGTCTCCCAATCCCCGGGTCATGGAAACAAGGAAGGGAAAGGAAAATTAAAAAAAGGAAACGTAGCAACGGATTAGCAAAGGCTTAGTCCAAGGCTCTATGTAATACCGGAGCGCAGGGAGAATCCAGTCCGCGCTGCCCTGAAGAGAA